TCGTTCATTTGGACGTGTGCCCATGCTGATCCTTTATCCGGATATTTTATTCGTATATTTTGATGGAAATATGCTGTTGCGAAATCATAAAATATCTGTCGTTGCCGCTGCCGTTGTCGTTGCGCGAGCTGAACGCGAACAAATAACCGACGATTGCGAAATCTCCTTATTAATATTCCGAGATTCTGTGCATGCAATTATTTCATATTTTATCTGTAACCTTGGAACTTGGTGTGCTTGTGCAATCACAGTCTGACGTTAAGATTTGATTGACTTGGCTCTAGATGAAAGACCATTCATTTTCGAAATTCGACCATGCAGTTCGCACTCCTTCTGGCTTTGACCGTTGCCGTCGCTGCCTTGGCTCAAGACCAAATTGTCCCACCCAAAGTCGCTTGGGGCGATGAGGCCCCTGACGACGGCTTCGAAATCCTCGGGGGCCAGAAGGCCCAATTCGGCAAGCACCGTTATGTGGCTGGGCTCAAGAGGTGCCCCGATGATGAGACCTGGTGCGGCGGCAGTCTGATCGCCCCCAATGTCGTTTTGACAGCGGCGCATTGTTTGGATGATGGTCTAACTTCTGTGGTCGTGGGCACGCACTATTTAACCGATTTTCTTCGGCGGGGAACTGGCCAATGTCACCCAGGAAATCAAACACCCCAATGGCACCGACGTGGGCATCGTAATCTTGGACCGCAGTATCACGAGTATCCAACCTGTGACGGTGTCGTTTGAATTCGTTCCGGCGGACGTGCTCACTTGGGTACGCGGCTGGGGATACGTTACGACTAATGGCCCGAAATCTCCAGTGCTCAAGGAGCTCAACGTCACGACCTGGAACAACACCAGGACCTCGGCTGCGTTGTTCTACATGGACGTAACCGATACGGAGTTGGGTGCTGGAGGGGTGGAAGGAGAAGACTCGTGTTATTACGACTCGGGGGGACCGTTGACCATCGAAGAAAACGGTACCGTGCGCTTGGTGGCGGTGGTCGCCTGGGGTGATGGCTGTGGTAAGATCGGCAAGCCAGGAATCTATGAACGCACCAGTGCTGCTCGTGCCTTCATTAAACCGTACTTGCCGAAGTAAGGCAAACTTGCGCGTGCCATAATGAAAGCGACATGCCAATATACTGTACAACCCACTTGGTTGAACATACAACCGACTTGGTTATGAAAGGCCAAACTTGCTCTTGTAGTGTTTGTGGTAAACATCGTTAATTTGATGAATAACCATTAGCGCGATATTGAAGCACGCAAAGCCATTCATTATGTCAGTGGAAGATATCTACTAATGCTCGTTGCAATTTCTTGTGTCATTGACAAACTATATTAACAGGGAGAACGTGTGCTAGTGGCACTGAATGATCTCTTCACGAAATTTATTCTGGGATTCATAATTTTGTGTTTATTCCAACACGAGCGACAGGAGAATGGAATCACTGTACCAATTTAAGATCTCTCCCATTGAGCCAATCACATCGCGATATTTTTTTACTAGAAAGCCCCCAATAGATTTTACTGCTTGAACTTCATACGTTACACACGCTAACCATGCCGAATCATCCAGGGGGGGAATAGCTCACTGTCAATGGAGGTTTATTAGAATTTTAACCGGATATTATTCCTAACTTAATATTGCCTTCTCGCGTTATCCGGCTGATTGGGCTCACTCGGGGGGGGGTGTTGGTTGTGTTTGCAGTGTTTTCACGATCCGGTTATTTAACCGAACCGCGGGTCCTCTTCATCCGGATATCCCTTCTTTTCAGGTGTCGCGTGACGGTTTTTGAATTCGTCGAAA